AGAGCATGACTTACTCAGACAAAGATGAAAGGGAAAGCATGTTGCCCAACGGACGTAGCATCTCTCTCATGGACCTCCAGGATCCTCACACAGCTCACAGTGACCACGCTTCTATTATGCACGATGTGCCTTTGCGCTTGGCCGGCAGCCAGCTCTCTATCACACAGGTGGCAAACGTCAAACAGCTTTGGGAAACTCAGAGCACCCCCCAGAGTGCTCCCCAAGTGAGAAGGCCTCTGCATCCAGCTTTGAACCAACAGGGCAGCCTCCAGCCTCTGTCATTCCAGAATCCGGTTTACCATCTCAACAACCCAACGCCGCCAATGCCGAAGGCCTCTGTGGACTCCAGCCTGGAGAACCTGAGCACTGCCAGCTCCCGGAGCCGAAGCAACAGCGAAGACTTCAAACTTAGCGGACCCAGCAACAGCAGCATGGAGGACTTCACCAAGCGCAGCACGCAGAGCGAGGACTTCTCCCGGCGCCACGCGGTCCCAGACAAACACATCCCCATCGCGCTGCCCCGCCAGAACAGCAGCAGCCAAGCGCAGATCCGCAGAATGGACCAAGCTGGGTTGGGGGCCAGGGCCAAAGCACCGCAGTCCTTGCCACACAGCGCTTCTTTGCGGAGCACGGGCAGCATGTCGGGAGTGTCCGGAGCCATGGTGGCTGAACCCATTCAGAATGGGAGCCGGTCCCGCCAGCAGTCCTCATCCTCTAGAGAGAGCCCTGTCCCAAAGGTGAGGGCAATTCAGAGGCAACAAACACAGCAGGTAAGCAAAACCTTTTTCCAGGTGCTTTCTGCTCTGATGTTTAGTTGATTGCTGCATTGACCTTCAAAGCTTTTTTGACCTTTGAGTTGAATTGAGAGTACTGGCACCTAAGCAAGTGGCCAGCAGCGAGCGTAAGGAATGGTCATGCTTGTCACCCTTACAAGCTTGACGAGCCTAGCTTACCTACTATTTTCGGATGCTTTTGTGCTAAATTTTTTTTTTTTTTTAAAGTTTTTTATTTACTGAGGTAGCGGCAAGCCTGGTGCAAGAAACAAAACTTGAAAATTTCCCTGAATCAAATAAATAGAAGCAGCTTTATTCCAGATCGTAGTTAAGATTGCCACATGAGACCGCATTTGCCCCGTGGTGCTAATTTAAAAGCATAGCTACCTAAAAACAGAGAAATAAACAAAGATAAAATATCATTGAATAAACTGCTGCCAAAATAATAAGTACAGTTGTCTTAAGTATGGAGAAATCTATATTTCACCATGATGCAACAATCTATTGCTGGTCCCCAAATAAGTACTGCTTCTTCATTAATCATCCAAAACTATGAATAATGCAAACACTTTCTGGAAAAGAGTCCTTATATGTACCAACTCCTAATGCACTTTATCAGTTGTTCATAGGCGACTGTAAATCAAGATTTTCCTGTCAAAAAGCCAACATTCCTTTACCTTAAAAAAAGAAAAAAATAAAATCCTGTTGTCATCTGCTGTGTATGAAAATCTTTTGCTAAATTAGTTTAATGTTAAAGAGAAAATGAGTATTTAAATGCTTGGCACTACAGTGAAGGTAAAAAATGTCTCTATCTGCAGGTCAGAGGGAAGGTGGTTGTTTTTAGAAATGTCGTATTAGTGCATACAGACTTATCAGCTGGGCAGGGTGAGGCTCTGGAAGGCAACACCTGCGCTATTCCTTGGGGTTAAGTGTTTTCTTCTGTGGTCAGTGTGAGGGTAAACACGGTCGTGTTTGATTTGCCTTACCTAGTATAGAAGGAAATTTTTTAAGCTCCTGCTTTTTGCCAGACCTTTTAGGAAGGATGCTGCTCTGCACACAGGCACGAGTGAGGACTTTCACTCCAGAAAGTTGCAGCCCCTGAGGCTGAGACTGTACCACACTGCTGGTGAAGCTACAGCCCCAAGGCGCAGGAGGTTATGATCCTCCTTGCTGATGTAGCCCTGTTGGCAAAGTGCTGGTGAAGACGTAGTTATGCAAGGGGAAGGCTTTTGGCTTGTAAGGTAAAGCTGGCAGGAGCACTTCATTGCCAGCGTGAGCTCCTGCTCTGCCAAAGGTTTTACTGGTATCCCTGTTGCTGCAGTTGTCTTGGCAAACTCCTGAACGTTACAGTCGAAAGGAGGAAAATTTGGATGATGCCTGGGAACCTAGGAGCAAACAGGGCTTCAAAACTACTTTGATACCTCCAGTACATTAAAGACAAGGAGATCAGAAACACTGAATCACAAAGCAAAGCTTAGTATGCCAAGTTAGTAATACTAAAAAAAGTAATTGCATATTATTTGAAGTGCAGAGGTTTGTGTCTCCTTTGGAGCGTGTGTTTTACATTTGGGCATAGAGGGGTTGATAGGTAAAGTATATTGAATACAACTAAGCCTAGTGTGGAGGTGGTAGGAAATTTTTAGGCCAGTAACAAGGATAAATTTGAAGGATAAACTCCCTTTGCAGTTCTCAGGCATCCAGCGTGAACCTGTATTGTATGATCTGCCGAGTTTTATTGTATCATTCTGTGCAGCGTCCTAGCCAAAATCCCCTGGGAGCTGGTGCCTTTCCTCAGGGCTTGTTACGGGAAGTGCTACACAAACACACAAAGAAGACTTGACTTTGAAGGCATTAGGATAAGGAGGAGAAAGTACAGGTGGTCTATCTCCAGACTTTGTGTGTACACCTTACATGGGTGGCTTCTGCCCTGTGTGTATTTACAAGAAACATTCAGTTAGCTGTTTGCAAACCCCTGGCTCTTCTCATCTTAAATTGCTGATTACCCAACTACCCCCGAGTAAATAGGTTACCTTTGCTTGTTGAGCATCAAAGTGACTTTTTCACACTTTCCTCTTCTCCAGTTACTTTTTACATTCAGTTTCATAGATGCCTGTGACTACTACTGGCTTCAGGGCAGGCTCCTTCCCCCCCTCTTGTAGGCAATATGCATCCACTTATTTTTCCACTCTACTTTCTGTACTAGTTGTCTCCACTGGATTCATTAGAGTACTTGCTCCTACTCTATTCAGAGAAATCAATTTGTTCTTTCCTTCCCCCCACCCTTGAGAAACGTCTTGACGTGTGCCAAATCAAGTGGCCAAAATTTTTTTGAGGCAAATTCCATTGCGTCCTTTTAATTGCAAATCGTGTTGTGGAATTCTGTTTTATTTAAAAAAGAAAAAGAGAAAAGAGAAGTTGGGCATGTTCTTTCTAGGCATGCTTTGTGGGCGTTATAATTATTAGATTCTGTTCTCTACAAGTCCCATTTGTTTCTGAATATAGAGCTAGGCCCTTTGTTTGCTGGGAGAGGTCACTTTTTGCCTTCTATTTCCATTTAGTAGGTAGGTGGGAACAGAAATGTCAGTGTATTCCTCTGGAAGAGAAGCAAAGAGGGGAATGAATACATGTTCCTAGCAGGCTGCTTCGTTTTTCCCCTTTATTGGAGTATAACTCATAACCCATTAGCATGTGAGGGGCTTGCCATCCACTTTGTGGGCTTTCTGAGTTTGGCTGCTGAAAATATTCTGTCCTACAGCTTGCAAGGTTGGTTGGCAAGGTTTGCTGCTGATCAGCAGTCTGTTACAAGGCTGGTGATGGAGTTTGTAGTCACCATTCTGCTATCTTAGTCCTCCATAACTCCAATGAACAGCAACACTGCTCGTCCGTACCTGTTCCTAATTCCTCCAGCAATTCCTAGAGCCCAAGTATTTACCTCCGAGAAAAGCTGGTTGGTGGCAGAGCCCCACACAGTTCATGGTCTCCCTTGCTATGGCTGCCTGACAGCAAATACCATCAAAAAAAGTCTTAACAAAGGAGCTTTGCCCGGCTGTCACAGTGCACTTGAAAGGGGCTATTAGCCTTTCTGCTGTGAAGACTTCCTTCTAGCGAAAAGGCCTCTGCCTAAATCCAGGGTTTTTTGCCTAATTCCTACTCCTTTCCTTTGCCTTTATACCCGTCCTTGCTGAGGCTTCTTCCAGTGCTGGAGTCTTCATCGCTGCTCAGGACAGCTGAGCCATCGCGGGCGGATCCCCTGGCCAGAGCTGGCCAGGGACGTATGCAGCACTCGCCAGCCCTGTCCTCGGGAACGAGAGAAAGAGAAACGGAGGTGGACATGATCCCTTGCCTGACTCATGTAAAGAACCTGTTGCTCCCCCATAAAGAGCTCCTCACTGAAACTGAGACTTCAAAAACCCCCCTGCCAGGGGGCACATTTGACTTTGGTACAATACTGAACCAAGGCAGTGAGCTGGAGAGCTGATTGAGCACAGAAAGAAGCTACAGTTGGGAGGGGAGAGTTGATCTTTTGCATTTCTCAAAAAGTTAAGACAGTGTTGCTCTTTCAGGGGTAATTATGCTAATGCCCATGCTTATAAACTTGTCTTTGTCCGTTAAAATGGCTTGGAATTTGTAGCAAGCCGTATTTTCCCCAGCCAGGCGAAGAGGGGTTTTGTTTCTTTTCTTGGCTTCCTTTTCGGATTCCCGTAAAGAGGGTAGCCTCGGATGATGTTTTACAGTTCTCCTAGTAAGCACTGCTGACCCTGACTGCCTTTCACAGCCTTAGCTGGGTGTATATGCTACAATAGACCATCTAAATCTGCTAGGCATTACAGTGGTAATGTTACACCTCTCTGCCACTTTTAAGTACTGCTGTGCTGTCTGATAGCCAGGCCATGCAGTCATTGCCATCCGTCATTGCAATGTCTGTCTTCAGCCTGGCTGAGAAAGCTGCTCCCAAGTTAAACTCCTCAGTGCTCCAGAGAGGCCAGTCAGTCTTACCTGAACAGGCTGGAAGCGAAGCTTTGTCTCTCTGTTTTCTTTGTGAGAGAAATCACAGGTTGAGAAAGCCTTACTGAAAATCTCACAAAGGGGAATGGCTGGATGTGAACAGGATTTGGAAACAAGAACTTCTCCAGAGAGAAGCTCACTTAGAGAGGAAGAAAAAATTCTCAAGTACATTGGTTTTAGAGGGACTCAAGTAAGTGCTGTGGGTCCAGAGTCAAGGGAAGATGAAATATGACTACAAGAAAGCTTTGGGGGATCCTTTGAGACCGAGAGACCCATGGTCATTTTTCTCTTCCAAATAAACTGGATTTTAGAGCTGATTTGTATGTAGTTTCTCTGAAAAATGCTTACAGGTATCTCTGCTCCAGGTTCAGTCGCCTGTGGACTCCGCCACAATGTCACCAGTGGAAAGGACAGCTGCGTGGGTTCTCAATAATGGACAATACGAAGAAGTAGAGGAGGACACAGAGCAGAATCCAGATGAAGTCAAGCATGCTGAGAAGGTAGGTTTTGTTCTGTATGCAGCCGATTCGAGGGCTGACAGTGAGTCCTGCCCACCCCACAGTTGAGTTCAGAATGGCTTTCAGGCACCGCTGTGACAGAGTCATGCTTTCAAACAAGGTTGTATTGGCATAACTTCCCACTCTACGCGGTGTCACACATATCTGTAGTACAATATCCCATACTGTAGATTAACCCACGTACAGCCTGTAGCGTGTCAGATCGGTGCGAATTGACGTAGCTGAGAGTTTGTACGTTACAGGCTGGTATTTGGCACTTACGTGCATCGTGAGTCATGCTGCCTAAGTGTATTAGATCCTACTCAAGTCATTATTTTTTATGACAACGCTATAGCTACAACATACTGCCATTTTTCTATGCTTGCAAAACTTTTTAGTGATCATTAAACTCCATTAAACTAAAAAAAAAAAATTAAGACTGTTAACCCAACTGAGTATAGCTTAGGATACGCTAAGTGGTTGTACAAAGCTCTGTAAACGCAATTCAGTCTTCATCAGTAGTTGCATTCAAATTTTTTCTTGGGCTTCACCTGAGGCATATGCCTGTCATCTAGGTAGTACAGTGTTTCTGGGCTACGCAGAAACGTCCATGATCTTATTTTTAAAGCCTGTTTACTTTCAGGACTAGATACCATTTTTCCAAATACAGTTACATCTATATGCTGCTATGGTGATGAAGTTTAGTAGAGGTTTGGTATTTTGAGGAGGCAGGGAGTGAGGAGGAGAATATTTGGTGGACAAGAAGCAGGAATATGGGATTATTAGGAAAGGTGATTGAACCCAAAACAAAGTGGAATACGTTGAGACTCATTGTACTATTGCAGAAGTGATCGTCCACAGAGATAGTAAGCAGAAGAGCAAAACCTCAGCCAAGTAAACTTACAGGTTCTGTTCTGCAATGAATGATTTGCTCAGTCTTCACACATGGTTTCATGCCTTGATTAGGTCCTGAAGAATGAAGCATTTGGGTCTCATGCTGATCTGTTTTGTAAGTTTGGTCACCACCTGACATTTTTACAGTTGAGCACTATTAGCAGCTTCTGTCTGTGAACTGCTTGAGCCTGGAGTGACTGGGGATGTTACCGATCAGGGCTGAGGAGCCATGCCAGAGCCCTCCGACTGCTTAACTTGTGCTACAGAATGACATCCTACAGTGTGGGATTAGCCTAACGCTCCATGGGAGTCTATGTGCTCCTTGTCTGTGAGTGCCCACAGTTCTATCTATTTATTTTTCTATCAATTTATTTTTCATTAAAAAAAAAAAAGTCCTTCTCTGAACAGCAGCAGCAGATTATAATGATCTGATCTCTTCCTTTTTCCTTTGCATCTGATTCTCTCCTCCTTTCCTTCCACCTGCAGTATGAACAAGAGATCGCGAAGCTGAAGGAGCGCCTGAAGGTGTCAAGCCGCCGGCTGGAGGAGTATGAGCGGCGGCTCCTGGTGCAAGAGCAGCAAATGCAGAAGCTGCTGATGGAGTACAAGTCTAGGCTGGAAGACAGCGAGGAGAGACTGCGCAGGCAACAGGAAGAGAAGGACAGCCAGATGAAAAGTATCATCAGCAGGTGGGGCTTTGGAAAGTTTGGGACTGTGTAGGACAAGCAGCTCCCCTGTATTCTCTTTGACACTAAAGAAGGTAGTCGCATGGGCTTCTTGACATCTCTGGACTGATACCATCCTGCCTTAGAGATGAAGCAGCAGGGATGCAGGTGCGGAAACTTGCCTCAAATTGCCAGGAGAGCAAAGGAAAAGATTTAGGAATTGTTAACCCTGGTCTGTGTTGTACTTATAATGGCTCTTTTTGCTTTGTTTGGAAGCTGTACTCAAGGCAGTAGTTTTTCAGAGCGGTTGCATTTTTGTCACTGTCCATTTTGAGAATAACAAGGTTAGGCAATTGGGAGTGTCAGATGGATAGATAAGCTTTCCGGAGTGCAGCAGAATTCTTCTCTTGCAGAGCCAGGACAATCAGAGAAGTCAAACCAACAGGCCAGTGTACCTGAAACACTCTGGAATAGTATTAAACTGTCCTGATTTGCACCTCTTTTTGCCATCAGACTCATGGCAGTTGAAGAGGAACTGAAGAAGGATCATGCAGAGATGCAAGCTGTCATCGATGCAAAGCAGAAAATAATTGATGCGCAGGTAAGGAGCTCAGGATCTCCAAGGACCAAGTGTTCTGTGCATAGAACCCATTATTCTCCCCTGTCCTCCTGCCCCAGTGTTGTTATCTGGCTCCCAAGCCAGTATTGGGCCCATGGTGTTGCACATGTGACTTACTGCCTTCTAGGAGAGAATTGGGTTTTTTAATTACTAAAGACTGTACTGTCTGACACTAGGCTTTGAGACAGCCTGACAACAAATCACAGGACTGATGGCTTCTCCAAAACCTTTTCTACTTTGTGAGATCGCAAGGGGATAAAGCAATAGCGGTGCATTGTGTAGACATTGTTCCAAGTGTGGGCCTGGGAACTCTGGAAAAAAAACTGTGCCTCATGCCAGCATAGTTTAATTGCCATGTGCATGCATCTCAGCTATGCAAGCTAAAAGCATGGCTTTGAACGTTTGAGTCAAGAAAAGAGAACGCTTGCAACGGAGCATTGCCCTGTATAATGTCGTATGTGGCATTTCACCCCATCTGACTGTCCACGTCAGTCCTGGAGAAATGCCCAGTTTGCCACAAACCTGCGGTGCTTGCCTCAGCCCACACAAGTTAGCTGTGGAAAGTTGGACCCAGTGGGCAATGCATGTGGGTGTATTGTGTGGGATCATTTCAGCTTTTCTTCTGTGTCTGTGCTGATCCCAGAGAGCAAAGCTTGTACAACAGAACCCGAGAATGGTTTGATATCTGCCTGCCGTGTGATGTTTGTGATATTTGCGTTTGGAAGACATCTTTCCTGCTTCTGAGCTTTTCAGTAGTTCCAACTGTAAACCTTCCTTAATAGATAATCTGAAGAAGATGAGCTGTTTCAGGAATAACCCAAGTTATTTCAAG